TAAATTCACGACACATTTGCTTCCACTCATTGGTTTTAGAGGCAAATATGATCAACAAAAACTCGCCGCCGTTCTGTCCTGTTGGCTGGCAGCAGCACAGCGTTGTCTTCTTATGGATGTAGGCGACTTCACCTTCACATGAGCTTTGTGTTTTGACAGTATCTTGTGTGTTTTGATGCGCCCTTGAGTGTGATGTGAATTTGAATGTGATCTGTACAAAGACTCGCCTGTCAGGGAGAGAAAGATGCAGACTGACACAGAGATGATTTAAGTCTACCATTCCCTTTCAAGTCAGCTCCTGAATCTCTCTCTCTCACACACACACACACACACACACACACACACACACACACACAGAGCGTGATCATTGCATCGACACAGTTTACACCCGTGTAGCCACAGAGCTGCTCTGCTGCTGTTCCTCACCTTCAGAAACCAGCGTACACGCACATCGTCTCTGCACAGTCATATGTTACAGTTCAATGTTACAGTTCAATGTTACAGTTCATATGTTACAGTATATCTAAAATGAACATTCTACATATAACACATGTTAGCATCACTGCCACTGAGCTAGCCTGTGTCAAACGTGTATATTATTATAAAACATCTATTAAAGTGTCCTGACACAGAACATTACACCAGTGCAGGCTTCTTTAACACAACTCACCATCACACTCACAGGCAGCCTCCCTCCTCTGAGTTATTGCCATTTAAACCTTTAATGCTGGGAGTCACCCGCTGTGTGGGAATTCAAAAGGAGAAACAGTCCATATCGACTGGTTTGTGCGAGGGGCCTGTTCTCTGTGCTGCATGGATCTCCATAGGTCACAGGATAGATTTTTCTTTTAGGTTTGGCGGCTCGGTGTGGGTGCACGAGCACAAAAGGCTCAAGAAAGCTTAAAGTTTTTGCTATTTTGTCTTTTCTGTCTTCTTTCCTTTAGTGATAGAGGTCCATTGATTGGACGCGATGACAGAGAAGCTACAATATCTGCTGCTAAACGCCTTTAAAGCTATTTTTATAGACCCGTCCTAACCTGACATGAACTTTATAATTTCATTAGTAACATGTGAGCGAACAGTGCTGTGAAGTCTTTGGTTCTTCTTATTGTGGTCATTTAACAAGTTTTAATGTAAGACAGAAATATGGCTTTGTTCCTCAGCTGTTTTTCTTTGCAAGCTCCTTTGACCTCAGCTGTTCTCCAGGTTCTTTACATCCTGGCATCATGTGCTGAGTGTTTTTAGCTCCTTTAGCCTACTTAATGTCTCAGACATGTGATTTCTCCCTTCAGCAGATCAGGTAGTAATCAGACCCGACTGCACTGGCACTGAACTCAGCTTACATCACACTTAAACACGGGTCAGGTAGGTTGGTATGGGTACTTTGTTCCCCTAATAAATGAAAAAGCACTTTGTATTTACTCTGGTTCTCTTTGACAAATATTTGTTGTTCTGGAACATGTGACTGCAACAAATATCACAAAAACATAAGAAATCAGGAAGCGGGCAAATATTTTGTCCCACCAAAGTAAAAGCACGGTCAGTTTATCATTCAGGAACAGCTCAGCTCTTTATGTATACATGCTATAACAGTATAAATCACACACACACACACACACACACTCTGACAGCACCCGCTGGTTAGTCAAGGTCACAGTTTTGTGACGCGTCCTCTGCATCATGTTGGATGTCTGCCGCGGTGTC